ATATGTATGGTATTTAGGTTTCTTTGGGTATTTTCCCACGTCTTAATGTTTGTGCTTTCAATATTTTTTAAAAAGCACAAATATTAAGACGTGGGAAAATACCTGAAGAACCTAAATACCATACATATAAATACCCTTAAAAAGATACATATAGCCAATACCTCAGCCACACATGTTCTTACAAAAAAAGCCAGCCAATCTGCAAACATCCACTCCATCAACCAATCAAGAAATGACAACATAGCCAACCTCCCCACCAGTATTTTATAGGGAGACGGCAGCTCCCATCACGCACTGCTTGAAGCACTGGCACGAAGCCGAAAGCACCAGCCTGAGGATGGCGGGTGGGACCTCACCGAAACATTGCCAAGATACTCTCAATCTTACACGGGAAAAGACCCGAACACGCCAAGACCTGCATACCTGTACCCTATGAAAACACACACGCACGCGCCACCAAAAAAGGCACCAGGTCTTATTTTCGGGGGATGTCATCCCCTGACTAACCTCACTTGTGTGTGTCACCCCCGGCCTCCTTTTCACTGTCAGAGGCCTTCAGGAGCTTCTTCTTCCGCGGCCAGCAAGGCTTTCCTGAAGGCCTCGGGAGCCGATAAGGGAGTTCTGGATCGATCCGAAGCTTTGTTCTCAGCTCCAGAGGCCTTCAAGAAGCTTTGCCAGCCTTGCCGGCTGCACAAGAAATGGGCCGGCAAGGCAGGTGTCGGGGTGCATAAGGCCTGGCTACACCTGTCCAAAGGTAAGTAGTAGGGCAGCTCCACCCACCCACCTCCATCCCTACCCTAGCTTAATTTTTACCCGTCCACTCTGGATTGGATGGGATCTTTATTAGGGCTTATTTTGGGGAGTAGGACTTATATTGCGTGCAGTTGTAAAAATCAAGCTAGGACTTACTTTCAGGGTAGGTCGTATTTTAACAAAAACAGAGCAATTACATTTGATTTTTGTTTAGCGACATGAATAAAAAGACTATTCCTACCCCGTTTAAACGGGGGTTTGTTTCTACTCACGAGTAAGTGGCTTATCCTTACTTGCTAAGGCTGGGTCAGAAACCTCAGGGCTATACTCTAGCTTCTTACAACAATAAAAACAGAGAAATGAGAAGAACCAAAAAGAACGAAAAGGAAGCCTCGAGGTAAGAAGGAGCCAAGTGATGGAACGATGGAATAAGCAATGAAAAATAGAAAACCATGATCAGGTCTCCGGTACCCAGCCGATATCGTACCTGTGAAGCCACCGTCCGCAATGTTGAACATAAACCGGGGTTTCTCCATCCTGTCTTCCCTCTTTCCGTTGTTCCGGTTCTCGTCTCGGAGACTGCCAATTTTAGATTCCTTGGCCGTCTCTCGCTCTGATTTCACATCTCCTTTGAAGACAAACAACTTTTTTTGGTGGGGGGGCGGGGAGAATCTCTATAAAATGCTTCATAGGTGGCACTTGCCACCGGCAAAATTAGCAGAAATGTTTAACAACATGTCCGCTAAACGTTGGAAGCGTAGTCAGACCTCAGGTACTTACTATCATATGTGGTGGACATGTGTGACACCAAGAAAATATTGGATGAAAATATATACATGGCTGGAAAAAGATGATTAAGCAGCATATAGATTTGAAACCAGAAATATTTTTGTTAGGTACAGTACCAGAAAGCGATGACAAAGGGACTATATAGTTAAAGTTTATATGTATTGACAGCAGCGAGAATTGTATTTGCACAATATTGGTAAAATGAGAACAGTCCATCAGATGAAGATATAATACGGAAAATACTGGACTGTGCAGAGATGGATAGATTGACATTGAAAACAAAAGATAAAACAGATACAGAATATTACTTTACGTGGTATAAATCTTATGAGAGGTGAGAGAGAAGAGGTAGAAAGTAGATGAAGAAAAATTATTGCTATGTCTAAATTAAACATAAACATGATTATATGCCAATGTAATCAATAGGATTATAAATAAGCTAACCTAAGTATAAGTTCGGTCAAAAACATTCTGTTGTACCACTACTACGGTTATTAGCATATATGTTACTGTTTCTTTTTTCTCTCTTTCTCTCTCTTTTCTTTTGTAAAATGATATGCCCAGACTATAAGGTTTTGGACCAGATCTGCTTTTCCATCCCTCCGTTCTTGCCTCTTTTTCAGGATCCATCGGTCTGCCTGGAGCGTGGACCACATGGGATCCCCCTGCAGAAGGCATCCAATGGCGAGACGGGAAAAGGATGGGGCCGGATGGTGCCTACCTATCAAAATCGTTGTTACTACCCCCTGCCCGGTGTTGGGGCATCCCAGCGGCCAAGACCAATTAAATCTAGATCGGGGGTGTCCAACCTAGACAACTTTTAAGATTTGTGGGCTTCAACTCCCAGAATTCCCCAGCGAGAAGGAGTTTCCCACAATTCAGCACAGATGGGGGCAAAAAACAAATGGGGCTAAATTACTTTATTGTGTTTTTGATTGGATAACTTTCTTAATAGACGGTGGGGATGAGGTCGACGTGATATATCTTGACTTAGGCAAAGTGAGAGGGGAAGAAAAAAAAAAGCCGGCTGGGAATCCTGGGAGTTGGAGTCCGCAGGTCTAATCGAGACCCTTGTCTCACAACCTCTTCCCAGCCAGGATGCAGGATTGCTCACCCAAAAACTAAAACGGCCCCCGGTGCAAATCCTGCCATTGCACATCTGCAGATGTTACCTTTCTTGGGGTCCTGAATTTCTCCTTCCATCTTTTCCTTGCTGTCATCACTCTCCGCTGATTTTTCTTCCGCTACCAGCTTCTCTAAATCAACGTCTGGAAACCAGAGGAGGAACAAATGAGCGAAGGGAAGAGAAACACCCACTTGGCTAACGACCGTGGTGATTTTTCACAGGTCTGCGGATCCTGCTATGTTTATTTTAAAGCTTTTATTTAAAATATTCTTTTGTCTAATTTTGTTTTGTCTCTGTTAACTTTTTTTCCCCCTTCGGATTTTGTTTTCATCTTCTGAATAAAATAAAAATTGTAAAAAAAAAAAAAATTTAAGTACAATTTTGTCCCAAAGGTGCTTTTTTCAGGAGGCAGCTGGACTTTCGGTTTTTTTTTCCTTTTGAAGATGTTTCGCTTCTCCTCCAAGAAGCTTCTTCAGCTCTGACTGGATGGAGGGGAATGGAAGGGATTTATATTCCTTGCAGACAGCTGGTCATTTGCATCCTTTTTAGAGGGTCGTTGAGGTTTCTCTGTGTCCTCAGGGTCACCTGAATGGTGCAAATGGTTCCTGTAGTCTGCAATATTTTTCCCTCTGGAAATCCAAAGGGAGCTCATCATCCCAAATTGTATATAGCTAAAAACCTGCAGAGATTCTCAGCCATCCGGGTTGTAGTTGTCCCAAAGGTGCTTTTTTCAGGAGGCAACTGGTCTTTCTGGTTTATTTTCTTTCGAATATGTTTCGCTTCTCCTCCAGGAAGCTTCTTCAGCTAGATAAACCCTTCCATCCAGTCAGAGCTGAAGAAGCTTCTTGGAGGAGAAGCGAAACGTCTTCGAAAGAAAAAAAACACAGAAAGTCCTGAAGAAAGAGCCCCTTCGGGACGACACCATGACCTGAACGACGGAGAATCTCCCTAGACTTTTGAATACGGTTTCAATACTCCAAGGTGAGCCTTCTCTCCTCTCTTTTTTTGAAGGGACCTTCCAGATCGACCCTTACCCGTTTTCTCCTTTTCTTCCTTGACCGCCGGTTCAGCTTCCAACTCCTTCTCCCTGGCCCCCGCCGAGGCCTCGTCCTCGGGTTTCTTCCAAGGCTCCAACTCCATCATCTTCCCTGAGAAGGGGGCGGAAAGGGGCTGCTCCGGCAGCGCGGGAGGCTGGGAAATGCAAGGCAGAGGACTCGACGTAAGGCCACAGAGAGGGCAGGGGTCGAGGAGACACCACACGGACACAGGGGTAGCCGTGTCCCAGGCGCAGGGAAAGACTACCACCCCCCTCGGAGCCGGGAGCCCATCGTTCCGGCCTGAACGCCGCATCCGATTCAGTTTGCTTCTAAAAATATTACGAAGAACGATCGCAGGCATTGGTTTGTCTGGTCTAGTCTTGGTCTAGTCTAGGACACGGTGGCTCGGTGGCGTTCTTTATCTCAGCTTCTGCCAACCGAGCAGTTCAAAAGCATATTTAAAACAAAAAAAAGGCAAGCGGAAAAACAGGGACCCCTTTGGTGGGAAAGGAACGGCGTCCTGTGCGCCTTGCGCAGCATTTAGTCCCGCCGGCCACATGGCCACGGAGGCGTCGTCGGACAGCGCTGCCTCTTCTTTGGTTTGCCCCCTAGAGCGGGAAACGACTGGCAGCAGGGATGCGTGAGGGGAACCTTTAGCTTAGTCCAGTGAAAGGAAGGACTAGGGGTGACCTGATAGGAGGGTCCCAACATTTGAGGGTCTCCTACTAAGAAGAGAGGTGAGCAACCTGGAACGAAGGAGAAACTTTCTGATTCTGAGAACAATGCACCGATGGAAGTGCTTGCCGCCCCAAGTTGTAGGGACTTCACCCCTGGAGGTTTTTAAGAAAAGTTTGGACAGCTGTTTGTCTGATATGGGATGGGGGGTCTCCTGATTGGGCACGGGGTTGGGCTAGAAGACCTCCAAAGGTCCTTTTATAACTCTTGTTCTTCCATCCGTTGATCCTTCTCTCACTTTGGAGAACAGGTATAATATAACTGTAATAAGTCAATAAATATCAATAAAAATTAAAAATCAAAGCACTCCGGCTTGTTCAAATCCTACTTGAGGGACCTCACAAGCACCCTACAGGGAAAATCTTTCTTCCAAACCTAATTCTGCAGTTCGTTTTTTTTTTAAAGGAAGAATGGACACATGAAGGGAAGGTTGTTTAGTTTTAGTTTAGTTTAGTTTAGTTTCTTGTCATTGCACCTCATTTAACAAAATTAAATACCATCTTCAGTGTACATTACGACTGAAAATAAACACAAACACACAACCTTCGCATTCTATATACTGAATTGAAAACAAACCTCGGTCTCCATTTTCTCGACGCCTTTGGCTTCCTTCTCCAACTTCTCCTCCTTGGTCTCCACATCCTCCTTTTCGGCCGCAGCACCCCCGTCGCCTTTGTCACTGGGGGCTGGAGTAGCTGAAGGGAACAGAGGACACGATAATCTGCCTTCGTTTTTTACGGATCATCCCAACAACCTGTTCTGACCCAGGCTTCCCCAACAGCCCGAAGCCGACTCCTCGTCCCGATAAAATCCCTTTTATTGAGCGTACGGTGAATTCCTATCCAGCAAAGTCCTGGCAAACCGTCTTTCAAGATATTGCACAATTACAGGCTTGGAGAGTTGCCAGGCTGATATCTTCTAAACGCCAGCTGTAGCAGACAATACTTGGCAAGAATGCAGGAACTTCACCCAAATGAACTAACTGTCTCCTGCAAAAGCCCCTCCCCCCTCCTTTTGCTTCTCTTTATTCCCTCTGGGAGGGGCCATTCACCGTCCACCTGAGCCTTTACTCCCGAGTTGACCTTTGTTCCTTAGCTGTTCCCTTCTCCTGGCAGCTCTGTGCATGTGCACACTGGGAACAGGCTCCAGCTGTTCTTCTTCCCCACTGATCTCCGACTCCAAAGGCAGCTGGTGACTGTCGGAAGGCCCTGGCCCCATCTCTGCCCCCAACGCAGAGCCCTCCTCAGAGCCTTTCTCCAGACTCCAGGACTGGCCCAGGTTCCTCCCTAACCTCCTCACTGTCTGAATCTGCTGCCAGCTCCGCCGACCGCTGGTGGGCCACAACACAACTGATTGTCTGGACTCCTGCCATGGAGGACGTCCCTTCTAGCCCTAGGATTCTATGGCCTTCCTTTCCTTCCCCAAAGATCTAGCTGCCTGCCTTCACTCAGAGCTCAGCCGCCCTCCTGTCACTTCAAAATCGATTTAACGGTCTTTGTATTTTATTTCACAAATGGGCAGCTAATCCTCGACGTACAAGAGTTCATTTAGTGACCCTTCGAAGTTAACAACGGCACTGAAAAAAGAGACTTATGACCATTTTTCACAGTTACAACTTCTGTAGCATCCCCATGGCCGTTCAGATGCTTGGCCACTGGCTCATATTTATGACGGTCCCGGGATCAGTGATCCCATTTTGCGACCTTCTGACAAGCCAAGTCCAGAGGGAAGACAGATTCACTTTACAACGGTGTGACTAATTTAGCAACTGCAATGATTCGCTTAATTATTGTGGCAAGAAATGTCGTAAAATGGGGCAAAATTCACTTAACAAATGTCTCGCTTAACAATAAATATTGGGCTCCATTGTGGTCGTAAGCCAAGGACCCGCTGTATACAGATGCTGACTTCCTAGTGGCCGGGGCACAAAAATACACATAAATCAAAACCGTACAGTGTTTTGCGTTGAATCAATCAAAATTCAATTTAACGTATGCTGCTGATACAGGCAGTTCTTGATACACAACTATCCATTTAGTGACTGTTCAAAGTTACGACAGCTCTGAAAAAAAAGCGATTTTCACACTTATGACTGTTGCAGCAGGCCCACAGTTCCCGTGATAAAAATTCTGGACTGCCGTCTCGGAATCAGCTGGTAACTGTTGATGTGCCTGCGCAAGATTGAACTTCGCAAAGATCTTTTCTCCCCGCAATGAGTGCAGCAGATGTTGGACTACTGGGACGGGATATGCGCTCTGTTGCAATGCATGGCTCAGCGTGGCCTTATAGTCACCACAGATGCACACAGACCCATCAGGTTTTATGGGGGTTACAATAGGGGTTTCCCATCTCGCATGGTCGATTGGCTCTAACACCCCTTGTGCGATAAGGTTGTTCAGTTGCTCATCAATTTTAGGATTTAATGCAAATGGTACACGTCTGGCTTTAAGCCTGATAGGGGCTATGTTCGGGTTTAGGCTAAATGATATAGGGGTCCCACGGTACTTGCCTAAGATCCCGTCGAATACGTCATGGAATTCCTCCATTTTTCCCAGTCCGTCATGGTGACGCTGTTGATTCCTGTCACTTCGATTCCTAGAGGCTCGAACCATTCTAACCCAAGCAGGCTGGGGCGATCTCGGTCAACGATGGTCAATGAGAGAATTTCGGTGTGTTTCTTAAATCTTACCTTGAAATGTCCCAGTCCTACCACGGGTATCTTGTTACCCTGGTAGTCTTTGATGATCAGGCTTTGCTCTTCGAATTCTTTTCGTTGTATGTCTGGTATCAAGTTTTTTATCGTGTTCCATGATACCATTGATAAATACGAACCAGAGTCTACTTCCATCTCACATGGCTCCCCTTCTATCTGGATGTTGATTCGAACCTTCTTAGTGTTTGTTGTTCTGGCCGTCCCAATAGCGATTGTCTGATGTGTCTCTTCCTTCTCGTTGAGCCGTTGATTCCTATGTTCCCGGCTCCAGCGACTTCCGGTTGGCTTCTCCTTAGTTCTGAGGGGGGGCGGGTACTGCCTCGTCTTTTGGGACTATAGCTCTTTTTGTTTCGGCAGACCCTTGCAATGTGCCCCCGTTTCTCACAATGTCTGCAGGTGGCATTCAAAAAACGACACTCAGAACGCGGGTGATTTCTCCCACATCCCGCAC